TAAAAACACATTTCTCTTAATTTACTTTTAATTATATGTTATTATTAATAATTAATAATATTCATCTATGTGAAGACATTGATCATGTTAATGATTTCTCACAGTAGTTTTCAACAATAACAAGTTAGATAAATATTAATATGCAACACTTCATTTGTCTGAAATAGTTTTTAAAGTTTTTTTTATATATAACTTAAAGTAATTTACAAATTTACACCAATGCAAGTCTGATTTAAAAAGAATACCTATAAAAATATTAGATGCAGCTTACTCATATGTGGTGCTATGGTGAGCTATTTTTAGAACAGGCCCACATGCAACTCATGTGAACCTGGCGGGCTACCTGGTGCCCACGGGCACCATGTTGGTGACCCCTGCCCTAAATCAAAAAGATACAAACTGCAGTGAGATAGTGTTAGGATTGCAGTATTACATACTTCAGAAGTGTAATAGTATTTAAAAACCACAATAAATAAATAAATAAATAGCCAACCGATGGTTTCAAAAAAGCACATATTGATTAATTTAGTTCACGAAAGGTTTAAATTTAAAGATTGACAATTTTTTGTTTAAAATAGGTCTTCCTTTATATGGAGATGAATTGAGTTTTTACTTCCAGAACCAAATTTTTGAGCCTCATACTAAAAAGCCAACTGAAAGCCAACAGAAAAGAAATGACTCTGCAGGAAGAGGAACACAAACACCGGCGCAGACAATGATCCAAAATAACCTCTTAACTCTGAACGCATCTATATGATTGCAGAGTAATGAGTCTGCTCGGTTTGTAGGGACAGGAAATGGCAAAATGGTCTTTCCCAGAGATCCTGTCTGTCCTATCATCTCATGAAAGTAAATGAAAATCAAGTTAAAAACAGCCAAAAACAAAAATGAAGTGTTCTTATTGGTGAAAATTAGACTTGTGACGTTTTGACACCAAGTGACCCTATTAAACCTTTTCATTTAAGCAGTGGGAATGCCTAATATTCCCAAAACACACCTATGGGCAGGTATAAGATTCTGACAGTATGATAACCTTGGATATGATAACCTTGGATAAAAAAAAAAAAATCACGGTTTCATGTTATTGTGATAACTGCTCTAAAATAATTTCTGGTTAAAAAACAACAAATTTTCCCAGATATAACACAATATGTTTTACTTCAAGAAACATTTTAATATTTTGGATCAGTAAACATGTCAGGCTAAATAATTAAAATAAATCATTGACGAGTACTGTCTTTATTAATTTCAAAAACACTGATTTATTTACAACTTGAAAAGGCATCTTTGTTTTCTGTGCATATAAAGTAAGCCACTGCACTGTTGAGTTGTGGAGCAAGTTTGGATGTTGGTTTAGAAGCAATTTGTTTTTCAGGTGTTTCCTGAATCTGAACAGTAGGGCTGGGTCGATAGACGATACCATCATCCGATAGACATCCCCATCACTGCAGCAACCCGCTCTCGAAAAACATACACTCATGCCTCGTTTACACTAATATTTCTTAGTTTTAAAATGGCATTTTAGGATGAAAGCGATCCACGTCCACATTGGCCCTGCTTCCACACTATACCGCTGAAAAAGCACATCACGTGACCACTCAAACACACTCTGTCATGCGCTCTAGCATGTGTGCACGTCAGAGCTCCAGCAGTCAGCAGGTGCTTTGAGCACAAAACCCCAGAGAGCAGTGCACGTCGAACAGTTTATCAAGGATGTATTGCTAAATTGTATCTCACTATAGTTGTTAAACATGATATTTAATTCAGCTTGTCTCTATTTAACAACTCTTCAGTCTTTTGAATCTATCAGGTAACGTGTCACAGCATCGGTACACTGCTTCAGTCTTTCACTTTCACGCTTGTACTTAGTAATTTTAGCGAAAACTTCAGATACTGTTGGTTGGTTTCTGTTGGTTGTGCACCTTTTTTACCAACCAAGTTTGTCGACGCCATTATAACGACACAGATCTCTCTGCCTATTCATGCCAGAGTCCCTCTGAAAAAGTGATTGACAGGTGGTAATTTGTGTGTAACTTATCTTTATTTATTTATGATTTGGTTATGGGAAAAACGAAGACCATGCGGGTCAGGTAGTTGAAACGGTAGGCTACAAATAATAATTCTAAATGAATGAATGAATTATTCATAAATAATTAATTCACTGGCGCCTACGACGACAATGCCAGCGTTCATCGCAATGTATCACAGTAGACATCGTACAATGCCAAATTGGTCAACATCGCCCAACCCTACTGACCAGTAGCTTTTCATGTGGTGGCTCTTTATCTGCGGGAAATACTGTTGGCCTAAAAATGTAAATAAAACAGTCATAAAAAACACTTACATATATGCCGGAAAGTACAAAAAAAACATTGTAGCGGTTTTAAAAACCTTGACTTTTCAAAATCGTGGTAAACCTTGAAACTTGAATTAGGGACTTGCTGAATTCATCAGGTAGCTCCTACAACACTGATCTTACATCCGAGAATCACTCAAATGATAAGCACTTGTGCACAGAAAGCCTCTGGTGTCCAGCTGTGTGCTCTGGAGGCCAGCAGTCATTTAGACTGTTTAGCGTGGAAATGACACTTCCTGTTTAGGACCTCCAGCGCTCCTCTGAGTTTGTGCTGTTTCATCACTGAAACCCCCTGTGACCTCAAAGTTCACCCAACATTGACTATTTACTCTTCCTCAAGGGGTTTTAAGCTTGACTTTTTATCAGTGTGTTCAAAATACTTTTTTAAAATGAGTTGAAACCATTTTTGGGTGGACAACTTAATTGTTTTAAGTTCAATTCACTTTAAATCCATAAAAACAATGAAGCTAACATAATCAATTTGTGTTTTGCCAACATGAAGGGATTGTGTTTAACCCAATTTTTTTTTCTTTACAGTGCGAGTTTCTTTCTTCAGTTGAACACAAAAGATATCTTAAAGAAAGCTGTATGGAAACATGTAACCATTGACTTGCACAGTAAGGAAAACAAATACCATGGAAGTCAGTGGTTACAGGAAGTCAGTTTTCAAAGTCACCAAAAAACTCATTTAACAAGTAAAGGGTGAGTAAATGATGACAGAATGTTCAGTTTTGGGTGAACTATCTCTTTAAACTTTGTCATGATATCATCCAAACTTCTTAATATGTGCCATTGATTGATTTTATAAGAAACTGATTTCATAAGAGACTCCTGGTGTACTTTAAGTTGGACATTCTGGGACTTTTCTATGATGCAAAGCATTACTGAAGAAATGAGACTGATTGGGGCATGAGGAAGTTGTCGAAAGGGATCAGTAATTAGAAGTATGAATGCATTTTGTTAGTGATAGTACAGAATGCAATTGCATTACCTCCATTTGTTTGCTTCGTCTGTTTGGTTTTTAACTGCATGTATACTTAATTAATTGACTTTTATCATGGATAGTGCAACATAAAGTGTTAACTAAAAACTAAATGAAAAATTATGATAAGAATTCTTTAGAATATTGCTATTTTTAATTCTTATTTAATTTTTTTCCAAATTAAAGCCTATAAAAAGCAGCTGTGACAACTTTCCCGAAGTGTGAGTTTTTAATAATGATATTCCACTAATCTAATCTAATATAAACTAATATAATATAATATAATATAATATAATATAATATAATATAATATAATATAATATAATATAATGTGGGCGATGCAGTGGCACAGAGGTTAGCACAGTCGCCTCACAGCAAGTAGGTTGCTGGTTCGAGCTGGCATTTCTGTGTGGAGTTTGCATGTTTTCCATGTGTTGGCATGGGTTTCCTCCAGGTGCTCCAGTTTCCCCCACAAGTCCAAAGACATGCGCTATTAGTGAATTGGGTAAGCTAAATCGTCCATAGTGAATAAATGTGGAAGGGCATCCACTGTGTAAAACATATGCTAGATAAGTTGGCGGTTCATTCTGCTGTGGCGACTCCTGACTAAGCCAAAAAGAAAATGAATGAATGAATGAATGAATGAATAACAAAATATAATGTGATGTGACTCTAGAGCACAAAACCTGATCTTATGTTGCATGTGTGTATTTGTGTATACACATATAAGTTAATAGGGAATAGCTAAATATACCAAATATAAATAATACTAAAAAACACATTGTCAAAATTATTGTTTTTTAATCAAAAATCCTTAGAATATTAATTAAAGACCCTGTTCCATGAAAACCTTAAATTTCCATTCATGAATGTATCAAAACTTAATTTTTTATTATTAATATGCATCACTAAGCACTAAATTTGGTCAACATTAAAGGCAATTTTCTCAATATATTTCGATTTTTTTATCCCTCAGATTCCACATTTCAATTAGCTCTGCCAAATATTGTCAAATTATCCTAACTACCAACCATTAATGGAACATTTATTTAATCAGCTTTCGGATGACTTATCTCAATTTCAGAAAAAAAAATTGTCACATATTGATTGATTGATTGATTGATTGATTGATTGATTGATTGATTGGTTCAAATGTTTAAAAAATATTAAAAAGAGCTGTTGTCACTTATTTATTAAGCTTTCAGATGACATAAACATGGCAATTAAAAACATTTATCACATTTATCAATTGGCTGACTGACTGACTGGTTGATTGATTGACTGATGCATTAAAATGTTTAAAAATATCAAAGAGCTGTTATGACTAAACCAGTTGCCCTTCCTCTTAAATAATCCAGTCTGAATTCAGAGTTTCAAACCTTTAACTTTAACAGGATCTGCTGTGAGGAAAGCAAATACATCCATCATTTCCAACGCAAGTGAGCATGACAAACACACGAGCGAGTGTTACATGAACTGTTATAATGCGTTTCAGCTGTTGTTTTCACACTCTCTTCCTACAGTACGACACACACGCACACGTTTCAGATCATTTGACATCCAGCTGTAAACTTAATAAACCCTTTCAGCTTAACGTACAAACTAAATAACTAAAAATATATTTCAAACAAACACAACAAGAGTAACCGTAAGCCTGCATACCTTCTCTTGTGCTCGGGTTAACCTCTTCTGTACATTACTGGCCAGTTTCCCGGCGTTGACTCCTTTCCCAACCTCTGCCATCTTTTGAGCTACTTCAAGTCTCCAAAGTGAATAAATATAAAAATAAATAAATGGTTATGAATGAAGTAAAGCGCAGAGAGAGAGGCGGGAGGTGCTGAGGAGCAGTAATGTATGGGGAAATACACTGTCTGTCGGATCAACAGGAGGTCGGTGGGTAAACCCTCTTAAAGAGACAGCACGCGAGACTTACAAGCGGATACGGACAGAGTTATTATTAGACTAAGCCTTTTTCAAGCTAGGTTATACAAAAAGTTCAAACTTTAAACTATCAAGCTATTTAAGGTCTGACGGGTTCCGTTATTCGCCACTGGAGGCAAGACTCGAAAACAAGAGAGAGAGAGAGTAAGAGAGAGGGAGATGGATTATGTTTCCCATTCCTTATTATAGACGCTCTCTTAAAGGGACAGGTAAACACATCCACTATCAAACTTTTTTTATTATTTATCTTCACTCCACTCACATCTCAAAACTTTTTTTTTAAATCTTTATACCAGTGGTTTAATGTAAATAAGTTGGTAAATGACTAAACATGAGTGTAAAAATTAATTGTTATTAATCGAATCCATAATAAAAGTTATATGCACTCATTCAATTTCCTTCAGCCTAGTACCTTATTTATCAGGGGTCGCCACAGCAAAATGAACCGCCAACAATTCCAGCATATGTTTTAGGCAGCGGATGCCCTCCCAGCTGCAACCCAGTACTAGGAAACACCTATACACTCTCATGTTCACACGCACACTTATACACAACTGCAATTTCATCCAATTCACATATAGCGCATGTCTTTGGACTGAGGAGGAAACCCACGCCAACACAGGGAGAACATGCAAACTCCCCACAGAAATGCCAACTGGCCCAGCCAGGACTCGAACTAGCGATCTTCTTGCTATAAGGTGACAGTACTGACCATTGAGCCACCATAAAAATTAGTTTTGTCATAATATGTGTGTGCTGTGTATATTTATTATGTAAGCTTATATATGAATACACACATGTATTTATATTTTTGAGAAAATGTTTATTAATTTTTAGATATAAAACATAAATATGTTTATGATACCTATTGTATAAATATCTGTGTAACGAAACGGTTTTGTTTAGTTTTGTTTATTGTATTTGTGTGTAATAGATATACATAATAAATACACACATAAATTGTCAAAACAAACTTTATTTTGGATGCAATTAATCATGGATAATGTTTACCCAGCACTATTAAAAATACACTGTAAAAAATCCATTAAATACCGTAAAATAACAGACATTGAATTACAAGAATGTACTGTAAAAACTGGACATTCATTGACGGAAATGTACTGTAAAATAAGGAATGTTAAATGACGGTAATGTACTGTAAAATGATGAACGTTAAATAACAGAAATCTACTGTAAAATAATGAATGTTAAATGACGGTAATCTACTGTAAAATGATGAACGTTAAATAACAGAAATCTACTGTAAAATAACAAATGTTAAATGACGGTAATGTACTCTAAAATAATAAACGTTAAATAACAGAAATCCACTGTAAAATAACGAATGTTAAATGACGGTAATCTACTGTAAAATGATGAACGTTAAATAACAGAAATCTACTGTAAAATAACGAATGTTAAATGACGGTAATGTACTGTAAAATAACAAATGTTAAATACCAGAAATTTACTGTAAAATAGCGGACGTAAAATTACAGAAATTTACTGTAAAATAATGGCCGTTAAATAACAGAAATGTACTGTAAAAAACTAACATTAAATAATAGAAATTTACCGTAAAATAACGAACGTTAAATCACAGAACTATTCCGCCGAATTAAATTACAGTAAATTTCTCTAATTTAATGTCTGCTATTTCACAGTAAATTTCTGTAATTTAACGTCCGTTATTTTAAAGTACATTTCTGATATCTAACGGCCGTTTTTTTACGTATTTTACGGTACCCCAGTTGCCGAAAAAAAATAAAAGAATGGATTTTTTTACGATGTATAATTCATTTATTTTTCTTCAACATAGTCCCTTATTTATCAGGGGTCTACGTCAACATATGCTGGAAAAGTTGGCAGTTCATTCCACTGTGGCAACACCTGATTAATAAAGGGACTAAGCTGAAAAGAAAATGAATGAATTTGCCAAAGTGACTTAAAACATAAAAATGCAACACAAAGGGTTAATCATGAAAAGTCAACAGTTTTAGAAGTGCTGCAATATATTAATAATACCTGACCAGGACAAAACATCCAGAATTGAATCTTTCAACCAAATATTTTAGTCTATTTAGAATTTGAAAGAAGAAATAAAGATGTTTGCATGGCCTAAATGCTTAAATGCCATGTTTGCATGAACTCATTAGTGAGAGTAGTGTTTCTCTATTCAGTGGTGTCACATCACATGTTTGGTGGGATTGCCATTACATTAAACCCATCAGACTTCATTAGCACACTGTTTACTGTCAGAAGGGCATATAAACTTTAGCAAAAATAACATACAGTTGAAGTCAGAATTATTCGCCCTACTCTGAATTGTTTTTTTTTTTTCTTAGTCAAATATTTCCCAAATTATGTTTTACAAAGCAAGGACTTTTTTTATAGTATTTTCTATAATATTTTTTCTTCAGTATAAAGTCTTATTTGTTTTAATTTAAAGCAGTTTTTAATTTTTTAAAGCATTTTAAAGTCAATATTGTTAGTCCTATTTAGCAATTTCTTTTTTGGATTGGCTACAGAACAAACCATCATTATACAATGACTTGTCTATTTACTCTTGCCCAATTAACCTAATTAGTTAAGCCTTTAAATTGAACTTTAAGCTGAATACTAGCATCATAAAAATATCTAGTAAAATATTATTCACGGTCATCATGGTAAAGATAAAATAAATATGTTATTAGAAATTAGTTATTAAAACTATTATGTTTAGAAATGTGTTGAGAAAAAAATCTTCCCGTTAAACAGAAATTGTAGAAAAATAATATACAGGGTGGCTAATAATTCAGGAAGGTCTTATAATTCCAATATAAACCTTAATATAACATAAACATGTGGTTCTTCACCACTTGAGTGGCCCAGCCAGAGCCCAGACCCAAATCCTATTGAAAATCTCTGGAGAGATCTAAAAATGGCTGTAAACCGTCGCTTCTCATCCAGCCTGATAGAGCTTGAGAGGTACTGCAAAGAGGAATGGGCAAAAATTCCTAAAAACATGTGTGCCAAGCTTGTGGCATAATATTGAAAGAGACTTGAGGTTGTAATTGCTGCCAAAGGTGCATCAACAAAGTTTTGAATACTGATGTACAGGTGATTTTTAGGTTTTTTATTTTTAATAAATTTGCAACAATTTCAAAAACTCTTTTTTCACATTGTCATTATGGGGTATTGTGTGAAGAATGTTGAGGAAATAAGTTAATTTAATCCATTTTGGAATAAGGCTGTAACATAAACTAATGTGGAAAAAGTGAAGCGCTATGAATACTTTCCGGATGCACTGTATATCAATGTGATCTAAGTAAAAATGCTAAAACATTCCAATAGAATCAGATATTGAGGTTATTTGTTTTTATTACAAGTACCAGAAATACATACAATAGAAAACTCTGACAAAGGGAAGACATCCAGCAGATAGGAAATGAATGAACTAAAGAGACGCTAACAGTCAAAAAGACCATATGTGAGACAAAATAAATAATTTGTATAAAGTTTAATTTCAAAAATAGATTTTTAAATACTTTACCTGAATACCTTATATTACTTGAGGATATCACAAAGCACATTTCTTTAATTAGTTGAACAGATAAGACAAATGACAATCTAATGAGGATAGAGACTGGATTATGGAGAACAAACATAAGGCACAGATGAAGTTTGGTCTCTTGCAGGAAAGCGCAAGACAAGAGGTCACTTTGTAATCTGTTCAGTTTTACAGTTTAATTGTATTGTACATCATTTTTGGATGTTAAATACTTTTCTAGCTCATGTATAAACAGATAAATTACTTATAAGCAGGGTGCAAATTACAGGGGTGTTTGGGGGGGGGGTGACCCTCTTAATAACCTGCTTGATCCCCCTGAAGCACATTAAAACAAAATGTATAAGGGTTCAGGCTTTTAAAACTGAGAAATAGTTCGCTCTGATCTGTATTTTAAATAATAATAATAATTAAAATAATAGATCATATGAATACACATGGCGGCTCAGTAAGTAGTGCTGTCACAGCAAGAAGGTCGCTGGTTTGAACCTCGGCTGGGTCAGTTGGCATGTTTCTGTGTGGAGTTTGCATGTTGCAGGTTTCCTCCGGATGCTCTGGTTTCCCTCACAGTACAAAGACATGTCGTACAGGTGAATTGGGTAGGCTAAATTGCCCGTAGTGTATGAGTGTGAATGAGTGTGTATGGATGTTTCCTAGAGATGGGTTGCAGCTGGAAGGCCATCCGCTGCGTAAAAACATATGCTGCATAAGTTGGTGGTTCATTCTGCTGTGGTGACCCCAGATTAATAAAAGTACTAAGCCGAAAATGAATTAATATTTACACATTTGACCACCCCTACAATGGTTCATACCACTGTGAATGCATAATCGTGCCAATCAGTCTATGCAGGAAAATATTCAATAAACAGTCTGAAACTGCAGATGTGGACCAGCGATAAGTGTTCAAAAGACTGTTTTCTCATAAATCAGTTTCTACATACAGAAGATATAGTAAAGTCAAAATAGATCCTTAGTTTATATAATTCATCCTACAGTAACTACTATAACAGCTAATCAGTGTATACTGTTGGGCAGAATACACTAAATATCCCTCAAAACACTGAAAACTTAAAATACGTTTTTATTTATAAATTAGATGTGATTTAAATAAATACATACATTTGATTCAGCTTGTTTTACACAAACTAACATTAGCCTTACTGAAAAATAGACCCCCACCAATCACCTGTATAATTTGCACCCTGCTTATAAGTACAATGTTTCTCCCTAAATGACTGTAAACCACTTGAGTAAGTGTGCATGTTTTGCTAATCTCTTTATGAATATTTCATGTTTTGAGGTTTGGGTGAACAGACTTTTAAAAAATCTCTTCGATTTGATAAAAAAACATCATCATTTGTGTTTTAAACCAATGACCTGAAGGTGTGTAAATGAAATTAAACTAACCCAGCGGGCACCTTGATGTCAAAACAACATAAAAAAACACATTAATAAATGTCAAAAATGCAAACTAGTTTAATGAAAATTTACTACCTAGGTGTCAAAACGACATCAAATTGATATCTAACTAATTTAATTGACCGGACAGTCCTGTCTGATTCGTGATGTTTTCTGATGCCAATAAATGTCAATTTGACATCACAGTGAACTCTCAGAAATGAAAAAACAAAATCTGTCACTAGGGCGGTACATTTTCAAGAGGTACATATTAATACATAAAAAGTACAAATGTGTACCTTATAGTACCTTAAGTAGACAAACTTTTCAGCCCGCGACCCTTAAAATAACAATGACTCGAGACCCCCAATTATCCTCTGTCGTGGTTATAAATATAGAAACCTTACATGCAAAAATAGGCCCAAGTCTATTCTTTGTTTAATTTTTAAGAATGTATATGAGTGCTGTAAATGTGCCAGAAAGTTTAACCCGGTGCCATAAAATCAAACAAGACACTTTTTGTGTCTTTAATATAATGTAATCACACCAAGGGTCACAATAAAAAATAAAATTAAAAAAAATAAAAAACGAAAGGCTGTAACTAAAAACGACTATTTTTATCTTCAGTCGGTTATATGGATAAAATATGGTCATTTTTTTATAATTATTTGAGGTTTTTTTTACCTTTATTTGGAAAGGACAGATAAGGTTGCAGACAGGAAAGTATTGGGAGCAGAGAGAGGGGTAGGGTCGGCAAAGGACCTCGAGCCGGGAATCGAACGCGGGTCGCTGTGAGCACCATGGTGCTAAATGTCGGTGCACTCAACCACTAGGCTATTGGTGCAAACAAAATATGGTAATTCTAATGATATATTAAAATACCTTTCTTTTCAGAAATCATTAAGTAATCACCCATTGTAGGTGTAAAAAAAAAAGCTGTAAAGTACAAAGATGTACCTTTTAAAAATGGTACAGCCCCAGCGATGGGTTTTGTACCTTTATTTCTGAGAGTGTAGTTTACATGTAGTGTAAAATTGGAAGCTTTCAGATGAATGAAACGTTTCTTATAATAGTTTTTCTGTCATTATTTTTATAGTCAAAGGGGCATCAATGTGTGGATGTTTTTTGACATCATGCTTGATGTTAATTTAATGTCTTTTTGATATCTAGGTAGTCAACTGCAGTGTTGCCAACTATTTTGAATGAAAAGGTGCTAAGCTCTGTCTGAGAAGTCGCTAAATGTCACTAGATTTCTTTATATGTCAATTTGCATATTACTGACGTCATCACGTCCAACCATTTCTGTTTGTTTAACAGCCTATGGTTAATAAAAAGGTATTTATATTTGCACTATGCTTTATGTATGTATGTATGTCAATTTAATTAAATGTACTGTTGTTTGAATATTAGGGATGTCCAGATACAATCACATGATCGGAAATCAAGCCAGATCATGCAGTTTCAGACTCGATCGGAATCGGTTATCTCCTGATCAGGACTCGAATATATATATAAAGCAGAAATCGCGAGTATATCTGCGGTCTGCATGGATGTATTATAAAGATGATGACGACAACATTGCCATTGATATGTATTGTGAGATGTGTAAACTTGACATTGTAAGAGGTGGAAAGGAAAATGCTTCATTTAACACAACAAACCTGATAAGACACCTTCAAACAAATGTAGAACCTCAATTTAAAAAGCCGTCTCGCCACTATTTCACAGAGAAAGCTCTGCCAGCTCTTTATAAGAGTTTAGACAAACTACTTGTCCTGTTATAAGATGTACCCCATGTTTCGTTCACCATAGACATATTGAGTTCAACCATAGCTCCCATGTCTTTACTAAGCCTTACCGCACAATGGATTGACTCCATCCTGGAACTGTTTCTTCATTCTTCTTTAATTTTTTTATGTATATTAGAAGTATCGGATCGGGTTTTGGTATCGGTAGATACTCAAAATCTAATGACTCGGACTCAAGGTCAAAAAAACTTAATCGGGACATCCCTAATCAGTATAGATGTTTAGTGAATTTGCAGAAATCTCTGTACCGAAACTCACAAAAATATGACTGTGATTGTGAACAAGAAAAGAATAAATGTTCAAATTAAATTCTTCATTCATTTTCTTGTCGGCTTAGTCCCTTTATTAATCCGGGGTCACCACAGCAGAATGAACCGCCAACTTATCCAGCAAGTTTTTAAGCAGCGGATGCCTTCCAGCGGCAACCCAATCCCTGGGAAACATTCACACACACACTCATACACTATGGACAATTTAGCCTACCCAATTCACCTGTACTGCATGTCTTTGGTGATTGTGGGGGAAACCGGATCACCCGGAGGAAACCCACGCGAATGCAGGGAGAACATGCAAACTCTACACAGAAACGCCAACTGAGCCGAGGCTCGAACCAGCGACCTTCTTGCTGTGAGGCAAAGGCACTACCTACCGCGCCACTGCTTCGCCCCTGTCAAATTAAATTGTTAAATTTAAAACAAAGGAGAAGCAGATCAGTGAGAACGGTACAGTATGGACACTTAAGAGTCAATAAAAATGTCTAGTAACACCAAAAAAAGTCACTTTTTTTAATTTGCCGCTAGGGGGGTCTAAAATTATCGCTAAATATAGCGACAAAGTCACTAAGTTGGCAACACTGTTCAACTGACATCAAATTAATTTCCATTTTTGACATTTTTAATGTGTTTTTGATGTCGTTTTGACATCAAGGTGACCTTTTACATCACAAACCCTGAGCTTGTGATCATGTCTTTTGACAACTATCTCCACCAATCCCTGCGTTTCATTTCAATCCATCATCTCTCTGTTGCCTCTAAGGCCAAAGGGTGGAAGAGTTCTGATTCTAGCAGTAGTTTTCCCAAACCTATCAGGACCTGAGAGTACCAGTGTAAGCCATTCTTAAGGACCTGATCTGGTCCGGTCCAGCTATACAGCAAGCGTAGAGGTGCAAAAGCCCAATGAGCAAGTCTTTGCCTGTTCACCGCAGCATAACAAGAGGTGAGCACATCGTTCACCACTACAGTCCCATGAGCAGTAAGTGGAGCGTATAACCCCTGGTCCTCCCGAACCCCAACATGAGTGATCTGTGAAAAACGCTTCCTGAGTTTACCCAGCAGCAAACACTGACCCACTTGAGCATCGCTGGCAAATATCGTCCGGACTGCTCCTGGTTTGGGTTCCCCCCTGTTGGAGCAGTTTCCAACCCTGATAAACAGTAAATGAGCCGCTGTTAAAGACACGCTGGCCCCATCCTCAGTGCGGATCACATAGAAGTGCTTCTGGGTAATGGGGCGACGGTCCAAAAAGGTGAGGACTTCACTATAGATGAGGTCTCCTGTCCCGTCGCTTCCCTCAGAGGCCAGAACCAAGTCTCCTGCCCGCAAATCACGGATTTGTCGATGGGAACCATCCTTCATGGTCACCAGAGCCCTTCCAGGAAAACAGCCGCCTGTTTTTGCTGCTATTGAATGCTCTACGGAAGGAATGGAGGAGAGGAATGGAGAGAAAAGGGAAAGCATTTAGATGTAGAACGGATTCAGTGCCCTGGCCCTGTTTCTAATCTCCACTTTTGACTGATATACCTCTGGCCTTTCCACCCTTCGTTCATTGCTTGGTCCTATGGGGTTTTCCTCAAGACTGGTTCAGGTGGTAAATAGGATCCTCAAAGTGGAACTTTTACTTCCTCTTCATTGGGGTTTGAGCGCCTCCTAGTGGACTGATTCTGACTTTGACTGGCACTGCCAGCAGTCTTTCCTCTTTGGACTATAGGATTTTGTACAAATTACAGTATATACATAACAATATACAGTATTATATGCTTCTTCTGATCATGTCAGGGACAGCTGATTTGCATAACGATCTGGGCAGAAGAAAAACAGGAGAAAGAGGGGGAAAAGAAAGGGAAATTTGGGAAAACAGAGAAAGAGATCATGAATATTAAAGCCTTTATTATGAAATTCAATATATGCAAATAAAACCAATATTGGCCATGTTTATATGTAGTTTGTAGACTTTGTTTTGCTAAAGCAGAGTGGATTTAAACAAAGTAGATGATTATTCTTATCTTAATTATTAGCAGAAGTATTAATTCATGAATTAATTAATATTAATAAACAAGCATGCAGATGTATTAGTTTCTAAAGTGCAAGGGCTCTAATTATCCCAAGTCTTTGGCATTGTGTGGTCCTGCTAATGGCTAAAACACAATATTTTATTAATGATGTTTTTGCCATAATTAAATCGGTATTCTACATTATAAGTAATAGAAATTTACATTTTACAATCTGCTTTCCCACTGTTTTGTCCCCATCCTGGTTCATTTTTAGCATTACAACATATTAAATAGCATGTTATCGATGCTAAAAGCTAAATGCTACATGAAGCCTGTGTAGTCTTGAATGAAAATAAGGATCAGGGTAAAGCATAGCAGGAAAGTAAGAAAGGTGAAAGTAGATGTTAGAAATGGTGAATAGAGTGTGTATTTGTTATACGGCCCAGTGCTGCAAGCCTGTGCTGTTTAAATCTAATCTTTTGACGCAAATAAATTATATTTGGTACCATAAGATGAATCGTCCAAGGCTCTATTTATTAGAAAGCCCATAATAATCAATAGTGTGTGCTGAACCAGGAACCTGACGTGATTCCTTGTGTCTCCATAGACATGCACTCAAAGCTTGGCTTCATCTTCTCACATTACATGACTGTGAGAAGCTTTGTTAGTTATGGTTAGCTTAAAATGATTTAAAATTAGCATATTTTTTTGTTTTATATAGTTAATAAGTGTGAATTGATTTGAGGAAAATGAATCAATATATTTCATTTTTTTATTCTTCAAAGTAATTTTAGTAAATCTGGCTTTAAAACTGTTCTATAATGAAAAAAAAACAGTATATAATCTGAAATGCAAATGACGCTGGACCACAAAATTAGTCTTAAATCTGAATAAATATGCTTTCCATTGATGTAGGGGACTGTTTGACTCAATTATTTGTATATCTGGAATGTGAGGGATCTAAAAATGATGTATAAATTGCCTGTAAAGTTAATTCCTTAGCAATGCATATTACTAACCAAAAAATAAGCTTAAAGATTTACAAAAGGTATTCATGGAACATTAACTTTACTCATCATTTTATTGATTTATGGCATTAAAGAGAGATTTATTTTGACCAGACAATGTATTTTTGATTATTTCCAGAAATATATATGTGCAATATAAGGTTGGTTATGTCCTCCAGGGTCACAAATGCCTTAGCAATCCTTTCATTATCTGAAGTCATGTTTTCATAAAAATAAATCATCCTAAACAGTGCCATAAGCAACACCCACTTTTCTCAATGCAATAAACCCAAAATCAACCTAAAAATTAAAACTGAAAATTTTTGAGAAAATTTGACAGCAATTGATTTTAAAGATAAACAAAGACAAAGTGAAAAGTCTGAGATAAAAATGAAAAGTTATAGCATACCATAGAAATTAAATTTAAATGATTAATTAAATTGTTTCCAAGTCAAAATCATAAATTTGAAGGTCATAATTATGAATTTAACTTATAAATGCTAAGTCAAAATTGTGACGAAATTAATATTAGGACTTAAAAAAAAAAAAAAAAAAAAAAAAAATATATATATATATATATATATATATATATATATATATATATATACTATGTAATTATACTATATAATTATTATCTGCATCATATCCATATTAGTATAGATACTTCTTTATGGCAGCAATGAAAGATGCAGGAGACGTTTATTAATAAACAGAACATCAAAGAAGATTTTCAGCCTAAACCTTTGTATTTGAAGATTCAGAAAATGCCAGTCAAAGCTATTGGCAAAAATGTTCAGAAATAATGTGCAGTTTCTTGAATAGATAATTGTTTTGCTTTGCCTCAGTGCATCTTTAGTAACGTATTTTTTTCATTCTCACAATGCTGGTAGCTGCTGTCTAATATTGTATGAATCACCAAAGACAAGTTGGTAGCTTAAAATCTAAAAATCTGATCTAAAATTTTACCAAACCAAAAAGTTGATTTACCTACATACCTACATTTATGGTCAGAGTAGACAACAGGTTTTAATTTCATTTTTAATGACCTATACCTACAGTTGAAGTCAAAATTATTAGCCCTCCTGAATTATTAACCCCCTGTATATTATTTCCCCCAATTTGTATTTAAAGGAAATAAGTTTTTTTTTCTACACATTTCTACACATAATAGTTTTAATAGATCATTTCTATTAACTGATTTATTTTGCCTTTGCCCTGATTACAGTACAATATATTTGACTAAATATTTTTCAAGATACTAGTATTCAACTTAAAGTGACATTTAAAGGCATAACTAGGTTAATTAGGCAAGTCACAGTAATTAGGCACGTCATTGTATATCAATGGTTGAAGTGGCTAATAATTTTGACCATAAAATGTTTTTTTTTATTATTAAAAACTGCTTTTTTTCCAAGCCAAAATAAAACAAATAAGAATTTCTCCAGAAGAAAAAATATTATAGAAAATATTAAAGAAAATTTCCTTGCTCTGTTAAACATCATTTGGGAAATACATTTTTTTTTTAACTATTTAGAATTATTTAGATTATTTAGTTCCTCCCTGTTTTGCTCAGAAAAATATCTGATAACTGTGTATGCTCATTTATAAGGACTAGTTTGCGTCCTCTCACCTGATTTGACACTGCAGTGTACGTGGCCTTTGGATTCGTAATAGACCCAGTCGAAGCCTGCTTCCACCGCAAGACGAGCCAGCATGGCGTACTTGTTGCGATCGCGGTCCGAGGTTGTGATGTCCACCGCTCTGCCCTCATAATGCAGAGATTCTTCAGAGTGATGTCCGTCCTCATCCCAGCCCTCCGTCACACGCAGACGCACACCGGGCCACAGGTTCATCACCGAGATGGCCAGAGAGTTCAGCTTATCCTTGCAGCGCTGCCAAAAGCAACAAATGACAAACACAATCAGATATTATTATTGTTAAATGCACTGTAAAAAATGCTGGGTTCCACAATATACCTTCATGTTGTCCAAACACAGTTAATCGATTTTACAAACTTACATGTGGATTGAACATAAAAAAATCAACCCAGGCTCATTTTGAATCCCTATATATATTTCTGGTGAGTACCGAATATGTCCAGGAGCTACTTTTTTGTTTTCGCAAAACTACCAGAGGCCGCTTTGTATGCTTTTTAAGATCTCAAATTTCTCCCGCGAGTGGCATCCACACCTGCTCTTCCACCAGAGGCCGCTGTTGACTGACTGAATTATTAGAGAGGTCATTGATTCCCCAACCACCCCCTTCCCTAAATCCTACCTATAGTGCTTTCAAAAGCACAGTGTAAAAAGGCTGTAGCTTATAAGCACAATTCTAACCTCTGTCTCTAGTCCTTTATGACGAGGCGCCCGCACACACCAGAACACGTTACCAGAGCCAATCAGCATCCAGGATCTTTGACTACGCAATCTTCCCCTCCCAAACAGATTTTCAGTTTCTAATGTAGCGGGACATGGCTGTGACGTTGCGATGCTGTGATGTGTGTGCGTTAATCCATAATAAGTGTGACAGTACCCCATAATTCATATTTTAACACTTCTATATATCTATATATTCACATATTGTGTGTATTAGAGTTCCACTTAATGTTTATCAGCCTGTGTTATCTTCCTATTTGAAGTGTCACCAAATCCTTTGTTGTAAACAATCTGCTAGGCGCATGCGCCATTATAGCCTTTGTGAGTGAGGCGCTGTACAATCTGGGCTCTGTTAACAAGGTATCAAGTTACATACATGCATGATGAAGTATATTGAACTAGCAGCTTGTCACATTTTGCCCACAATCATTTGCACATTATTTTATTATCAAGTTTAATGTTTCATGCTGTGTAATTGGCTATATTTTACTATTGTAATTAGTTTGATTATCATTATGTATATTCATATTCATTTCATTGTGTTTTTATTATAGAAAAACCACAACACAAGTGTCAACAATCCAGTCAGTTGAGTGGTGACAATAAATAGGCTGTTCACACAAATGTTCATCTTCGCCTCATCTCTAATTGGACAGTCTTTGGTGGGTCAGCAATCAGAACTAGCAACTAAAAATTCTATGGTGCAGAGCTACTAAAAGCCAACCATTTTTTTCACACAGATTGACCTGCTCAACCATTTCCCTAAACCCAACCGATAGTGTTTTCAAAAGCACAAATTGACCCGAACACCCACTTCCCTAAACCCAACCGATAGTGTTTTCAAAAGCACAGATTGACCCGAACACCCACTTCCCTAAACCCAACCGATAGTGTTTTCAAAAGCACAGATTGACCTGAACACCCACTTCCCTAAACCCAACCGATAGTGTTTTCTAAAACAATCCAGAAAAAGCCCTCGCGGCTGCCGGTTTTTTAACACATTTTCAGATTTTACCACATTCTCATCCTCTAATTCACTTGTTTTTTTCTTACCTGCTTTTCTGGAACCGTTCTTTACCAGAATCGAACCCTTTCAAGTTCGATTCTGTCATGGAAAGGAGCAGGATAAAAGATAAGCGCAGTCACATTTTGATCCTATTGGTCTCACGCAATCCCATGAAAGTGCCCCTCAAATTATTGTAAGCGCCCCTTCAGTTCTCGATCGCCAACACCCAGACATCCCTAACACCCAAACATCCCTATCCCCCTACCCCTACCCCCAACCCACTCTTCAGTTTGAGATCACCACCCCGGGTCTTCACTTTGAGCACATTAAAGGATCTCTACATGGCCCTGCCAAGTGTCAAGCTTGAACTCTGGAACCCAGTGACATGCGAAACTCATTGCACAAGCTTGCATTTCCAGTATGCTGCATGCGCATAGGTATGAATGGAAGCCTATGGGGTGAAAAGTGCAGTGTGACCACAGTTTTAAACTGTGAAGCCTGGTTTGTTCTTCTGTGATCGGCTTGACCCACGGTGCACGCCTTGCACGAATACGCGTTGCCATGCATTTATACTTCTGTGCTCTGTTTCTGTTGCTCTGCAATAACACTTTTAAAACGCTAGCTGGCAGAAGGTGTTTATGTTCCTCTGTGTCGAGTTTCTTCACTGGTGTTTTGTTTTTTATGAATGCTTCCTCAATGTACAAGTGGCTCAAACTCGCTCATTTTGAGGCAGGAACCGGTGGACATACAACAACTTTGACCATGAGGTAAACACAAAACAAAACCTTTCATCTGGACCTTCACGGGACTCAACACTTGTAAACATTCGCTCCATTGAATGAGTGCTGTCGCCCTCACAGCAAGAAGGTAGCTGGTTCGAGCCTTTGCTGGTTGAGTTGGCGTTTCTGTGTGGAGTTTGCATGTTCTCCCTGCAATCGCATGGGTTTCCTCCAGGTGCTCCGGTTTCCCCCACAGTTCAAAGACATGCGGTACAGGTGAATTGGGTAGGTTCAATTGTCCATGGTGTATAAGTTTGTGAATGAGTGTGTGTGTGGATGTTTCCCAGAGATGGGTTGCAGCTGGAAGGGCATCCACTGCGTAAAACTTGCTGGATATGTTGGCGGTTCATTCCGCTGTAATGACCCTGGATTAATAAAGGAACTAAGCCGGAAAATAAAATAAATGAATGAATGAATGAATGAATATCTTCAAATGGGCGGCACAGTGGCTAGCACTGTTGCCTCACAGCAAGAAGGTCGCTGGTTCGAGTCCAGGCTAGGTCAGTTGGCGTTTATGTGTGGAGTTTGCATGTTCTCCCTGTGTTCATGTGGGTTTCCTCCAGGTGCTCTGGTTTCCTCCACAGTCAAAAGACATCCACTATAGGTGAACTGAATAAATTAAATTGTCCGTATTGTATGTGTGTGTGTGTGTGTGTGTGTGTGTGAATAAGTGTGTCTGAGTGTTTCTCAATACTGGTTTGCAGATGGAAGGGTATCTGCTGCGTAAAAAAAAAAAGGTTGGAATAGTTGGTGGTTCATTCCATAGTGGCAACCTCTAAAAATAGAGACTAAGCCTAAGGAACATGAATGAATGAATATCTTATAATCTTGAATAATCTTGTTTATCAATATTTTAATCTTGAATAAAATATTAACAAAAGGCATAAAAATGTAGGCCACAATGTAAGTGTGACAGAATTTAAACCCAACTGAACTCTGAAACCCAAGTTAACAATTAAACAAACAGAAGGAGTTTGCTTTGCGTGCCTGACTATGAAACTATCCTCCACTTTGTGAATTTCCTTCAAGAAGCATGGATTTTGTTGAGTTCGTGCGAAAAAGCCAGTGGCGGGCAGTTGCTAGGTGAGAAACGCAGTGAGCAATGGCAAATATAATCCCGGCGGGCATTTGTAGAAGTGACGCATTTGTGGTTAGCACAAACACTCGGAGCCCATGGCCTGATAAATCCCCGTCTCAACCAGAGGCCACGAGACATGCAAGGTCACTGGATAACCACCAACTAAGTGGTCACAAATTGCTTACTGAGTGACGGCAGAGATTCTTTGATGTCGCTGTTTTAAGTCCTCACTACATAGCCGTGCCATCAAACCGTCTATTTCTGTCCTCAGAATTGGAGACCCACCTTTCCACTCAATAGCTACTTTATAAAGCTCTGCGGATGATCTGTTTGAGTTCTGAGCTCAGTGATTTGTTGTTATGATCTGCATTTCAGAGCTGTGCTTCATCTGTATGGATTTCATGTTAACTCACGGTGCATTAGCTAATGTTAAAGGTGCTGTATGTATGCTCTTGACTCTTCTGAAGCATGAAAATATCATAATATGCTTGCAGATATTTAAGAAACATGCTAAGTGAATATTCTTGATTATTTGAAAAGCAATGCTGGTCAGATATTCTGCTTTGAAAATGTCTGTTACGTGCCGGGACATGTGTCTTTGTTTCAACACAATCTCACGGCAATTCGTAACTTTTTTATTTAGTGGCTAATTCTTATGAATTCGTAGGATCTAATTCATACATTTTAGTATGATTTGCTCACCCCCCAATGACTGTTGGGTTTAGGGGTGGGGTTAGGTGCCACGCCTCCTTTTTAAAATCGTACCATTTCGTACGACTGAACTCAAATTAGCCACTAAACTGGCAAAATGTAATATACTTACGTTTTCTCGAGAGATCGGGCTGCTTAGTTTTGGTTTATTAACCAGACCACTCCCAGTTTTGCCAATTATATTTCAGCACCCTGGGTTGCCTTGATGGAAAACTGCGTGTTTCATTCAGTCAGGAAGACTCCCAAAGTGTGTTCGCGATCGAAATGCGACCTCCGGTGGACCGTAGCAGACTCCGAAGTGAGAAGCAGATTCAGAGTTCCACGTGAGGCTGGTTATTAATTAGCAAATAAATTTAAATCATATGAACATAAACATTAGGTGAGCAGGTTATATTGTAACCCCGTATCCTAATAACATACCACGTGAGGAGTTACGCAGTGATTAAAAATTTGTGCTGTTTGCACCAGACGAAACGTGACAGAAATTTAAATACAGCCATTCAGAAGCACAGAATAGTGCACTCACTGCACTCCAACAACGTGATAAGGTTTATAATCTAAATAAAACATATTAAACCTCTTAAACATTATTAAATGTAGATGCCGAGTCACTGATATGTTCTAAAGTTCAGTTTCAAACTGTTTATTTTATTTTCAAGATCTGAGCTGAACTATCTGCTGCTGCTTTCAGTATTATGGCAATAATTGTCATGTAAAATGGCCTTCAAACTCACACTATTAGCATTTAACACTGAATAAAGCACATGAGGTGTACTTGAGGTGTTCATTGTCAGTTTATCCTGTTGTTCAGCTGCAAGAAATAGAAGTCATTTCTAAAATACTGTGAAAATTTAAGGTCTTGGTTAATTCAAAAACTCCTTTTAATATGGAAAATATTCTTTCTATTGCATGCCGTTGCTTTTATTCAGAACTTAAATCAGCC